ATTACATGGCAGTATGAGCGTAAAGGCGAGGCTAATGTCGCGCACCTTTTTTGTGAATAACTTCCTTCCTTTTCTTCGTTACTTATTTCTTCATATTTGGACATCATCACTCCGTTATGCTAACTCGGAATATTTCTTGAAAATCTTATGTCGACAACTACTTCCGATTCTTTGCTTAGCATAACTAAATGTGAAGCTCTCGCCAATCCCGTAAAACGTTCTCGTCTCAAGTCTCACCATTTTGACTGCTGGTTGGGCAACGATTACAAGTGGACGCACATTGTTCCGTCATATCGTCGTAATAATCCAGCGAGTTACAGAACTGCTGAAAATGTTTTTTTTTGAAGTGTTGTGCTTGATTCAATCAGTGAGCGCAAGAGCTGCCTCAAAGCGGTCTCGTCTTATTTCGGATAAAGGACCTCAAAAAATCTAATTCTTTCTTAGGTGAACAAATGGCTTCTTCTACAGCATAATACGGTTGGGTACCCCCAGGAGGCCCGTCGCGCGGCAAGAAGGCAGAGTCGGCGGACGAGTTGCAGCGCGTGATGTGCGATGTGCAGTGGGACACTCTATTTAACTTGACGCGAAATCCCTATAGTACGCGCGCGACTCGTCCGCTGACTTTGCCTTCTTGCCGCGCGACGGGCCTCCTGGGGGTACCCAATACGGTTATATGGGCATCGGCTGGTCATAACGAATTGCTTGAAGCTAACGGGTATCAGGTTGTCGCGGAGGCCCTTAGCATTTCCCTCTTTTTTTGAAAGTAACATCAGTAACATGAGCAAATGAATCTTCTTGACGGGTACTTCTTCCCTTATCAGGTGACTTCTGTGTGCCGTTTTTGGGAGTCATGAGCTTTTGAGGTCAAATTTGGAAGTGTCCTTCTTGAGTTGGTCCAGCTTGCACTTCCTCTTTCTAGATGGTTTTACAACAAAGGAGATGTAAGTCTACCGATGACAATCTGCTGAGTCGTGGGATTCATGAGAAGAAAATACACCTGTGTGCAATGTTTGGGGAAAAAACAACTTTTGCCTATAATGCAACTGCTAACCAACACAGCTCGATGCAATTCGGAACCCACAATGTGCACCGATATGGTTCAGGAGGTGACTGGCAGACGTACTCAAAGGCGCTTGAAAAAATAATTTTCTTCAAGGACGCTGATAACCCTGAAGTCACCACAATTCAGGGCGATCCTTCCAATGACGGGACTGCTTTATAATAGCATGTGTGTTGAACACTGGGGACGGCAGTGCATGCTCTGTAACGTGATTCTTTACTGGTCATTACGTTAGTAAAGAATCCCTGTAGAATAGCTTCCAATTTCCGTGCATAGGGAGGAAGTACTGTATCACAATAACATTGTCTGGAAATTGGATCTCGTTAGACCGGATGGCGAAACGCGCTTTCAACATCATGCCTCCTTACACCGTAACACCTGGAGCACCAAAACGATCATGCATAATGACGACGGCTCCGCACGCGTCACATGTTCCCAGTTCTCGGCTCATCACGATGTGTCCAGAACCACCAATCACAGGAACCTGCTCCCATCTGAGAGGAGCACTTGTTTCTTTTTCAATTCGTCCATTTCTCATCTGTCGGCACCATCGCAAATGGTGCCTTCGTCAGAACGTAACCCACTGGTAGCCAGGCAAGACACAATTCCCATACGCTCTTTATGCAACACTTTAACTTTGGAATGCGTGCTCTACAACCCTGCTGAAAGAGGTCGCTACTGAAGCAAATGATTGAGGTGGATTAAAGGACGAATTCACGATGAAAAAGCAACCCATTTCAAATTAACCTAGGGATGGTGAGTGGTACACGAAAGAAGGAAGAACCATGAGAAACGGCCCAGAACCCGAGAAATGGGACCCCTTCCTTGCCCGTTGATTTGAGCATTGATGCGACTCTCATCGCTGTGCCCTCTTCAACACTACGCTCTCTCAGCTATCTAATCACTCGCCACGTATTGAACTACGGCGAGTGATGATCGGTGGGCGGAGATCGCCGGACCCGCCAGCTTTGAGGCATGATAGGTCGCCGAGGTCAAATTTTTCCATGCGAATTGCGCGTCAGTTCGCACCCTCAGGAGGTCCGTGGGTCCCTCAACTAGGTCAGTTTCCCTTTCTTCGACCTTCATTCTAATCGTGAATTCCTCCTTTAATCCGCGACTGATACAGGACGTAGCTGTCATCCGCTGCTTTAGGTGACCGTGGCTCGATAACCTTCTCTCCTTCATAGCAATAGCTGCGGTTTGAGACACTCAAGGTTGGAAAAAAATTGCATTAGTAATACACATTTCTAGACTCAACTCTTCGCGTTTCCTTCTCCTTCCACATTTCCGATAATTGTTCTTCGTTTGAGGTCATTCATTTGTATTCCCCGGACCATGTGCAAAAATTTGGGCCCGCGTACGTCCCTGCACTGCCTTGATTATTTGGTGGCCTGATTGCGAATATGATAACATCCATTCTCGGCGCTGGCGCTATTTGGCGCCTATTTTCTGCTCGTCTGCGCTCTCCAACCGAGAAATATGCGTTGAACAACGTTAATGCCAAAAACGAATGTCATATTCGTAATCAGGGCACCAAATAACCCCTATACAGAAGTTTACACCGATTTTGGTGAAAACAAGGGTCGTGACAAGGTGACGCCAACTGGCGCCAGATGGCGCCACCGCTAAAAATGGATGTCATTCCCCTAACCACCATATCGAACTAGCCGGCAACTACACCACCTTCGGTTTGCTGACGACATCGTTCTTATAACGCCGAACATCGAGCAAGCGGAGCGAATGCTGGCTGATTTCGACTGCGCCTGTGGTAAGGTCGGTCTACAGCTGAACCTAACGAAGACGATGTTTATGAGAAACGGATTGGTTCCTGATGCCCCATTCACGCTCAACGGAACGAACATCACCGAATGCTCCAGCTACGTGTACCTAGGTCGGGAAATCAATATGATGAACGATCTAGCTCCAGAGCTGAGCAGGAGGAAACGAGCGGCTTGGGGAGCGTACAAGAACATCGAGGGAGTAGTGAAGAAGACGAAGAACATCCGGCTCCGTGCCCACCTCTTCGATTCCGCTGTCCTTCCTGCCCTAACCTACGCCTCAGAGACTTGGACTCTGCGCAGGCAGGACGAGCATGCGGTCAGCGTTATCCAACGCGCTGTCGAGAGGACGATGCTAGGAGTAACCCTATACACGCAAGTGCAGAGGGGAATCCGGAGTTCCGAACTACGCCAACGATCGAAGATCAGGGACGCTGCCGTTTTCGCCAAGGAATCGAAGATAAGGTGGGCCGGACACGTCATGCGATTTTGCGATGACCGTTGGACCAGAGCGGTTACCGACTGGATCCCTCGGGACGTCAAACGAACACCTGGACGACCGCCGGCCCGATGGTCAGACTTCTTCACGAAAGCTCTGAACGAAAGGAATGAAGGCTTCGTGTCCCTCGAGCGAGGAGGATCCACTGGACAACTCTTGCACGCGACAGGGACGAATGGAGACGTTGCTGGCGCCCGCTCGAGCAATTCGATGATCAACGGGACGACAGGTGATACAGGTGAATATAAGCTGAATAACTTCAGGGATCATAGATTCGAAGGGCTTTAGCTATGAAATTTAATCCCGTACACCGTGGGATATGTAATTAGCGCCTCTGAGCAATAGCCGCCTCCGTCTATATCTCACCGCATTGTTGCCTATCCTATGCAATTAGTAAACAAACGTACCACCATGGTCGAGCATACGACGCTGTCGCTGGCATCCTTGCATAGATTCGCGTTCTTAACATCACACTTTCCACAAGTTGCTGGACATTTTTCCTGAAGAATCAAAATACGGGACAGTGGCTGAAAAGTGAAAGCGACACCTATGTACGTTCCAGTTTGATACTCGTGATTATCGCTTTCATATTACTGTAGGAATTCCATGTGAAACTTTAGACTCCAAATTTTCAGAATCCTCGTGGACACCTCTCCCAAAGTCCAACAAAGGAGCATTACCATAATTTCCAGTAGATGAGCCGTGTGTTCATGATGCTTCTCTTGCTTGAGTTCATACCCACGTGGACTTTGTCAATTGATAAAGATAAAGCTAAAGATGAAAACCCGCGCCGATATCACGTATAAAGACCTCCGCTGGTGCAGTGCACTTGGAGACAGCCGTAACTCGCCCAAAGGGTGAATTCGACATGCTGATTACGAAAACGACATTCATTTTTAGCGGTGGCACATCTGGCGCCAGTTGGCGTCACCTTGTCACGACCCTTGTTTTCACCAAAATCGGTGTAAACTTCTGTATAGGGGTTATTTGGTGCCTGATTACGAATATGACATTCGTTTTTGGCATATTCAACGCATATTTCTCGGTTGGAGGGGTCAACGAGCAGAAAATAGGCACCAAATAGCGCCAGCGCCGAGAATGAATGTCATATTCGTAATCAGGACACCAAATAACCCCTATACGGAAGTTTACACAAATTTGGTGAAAACAGGTGTCGTGACAAGGTGACGCCAACTGGCGCCAGATGGCGCCACCGCAAAAAATGAAGTCATATTCGTAATCAGGGCATTGAAATACCCCTATATACAGGGGTGGCCAAAAAAGAGACACTTTGCCCATGGCGCACATCATCGAACTTTTTTTTTCGTCGCACAGGGTGCCGATGTTAAAGTTTTACGGCGGAATATTCCTTAGGTGTTCCCCCGTAAACAGAAGCAGGCCCTCCTTCACTGCCCCGCCGTCTTCAGAATATGACGTCATCTGCCGCCACCGTCGAGCTCAACGAGGCTTACCGTAATCGCTCCGGCCTGAAGCTGCTACATAATTTCTTCAATGGATTAACTGTTGAATAGCTTCCCAGAGACATAGCTGTGACTATGCAAAACCGCTTTTGACCAGCGTTTCAGAGACGTAATGTCTATGGTACCTCGACGACCTCGTTGAGCTCGTACCGTGAACCATGTTTCCGTGGGAAAATCTTCTGATGTCGTCGGTGTAGAAGGCTGTCATGTTAGAATGTGCTCTTTAATACTAAGTTGGGGCAGTCGATTTGATTCTAGCAAAGTGTGATTAATGCTGTCTGAAATGTGGAGTGAAGTGTCTCTTTTTTTGGCCACCCCTGTATAAGCAAATTTGCGGCAGTTCTTGAGGTGTACAATATTAGACTGCATGAGCGGAGGTGTTTTTACGTTATATCATTGGTGGGTTTGCGAATTCAGGGTAATTCTTGTGGCTCAGGCGATGTAGTCACAGAACCAGGAAGAAAAGTTATCGAAGCAGAAACGCTTTAGAACTATTAATCTACGCACAACCTTTAGCTGAAAATCAATTCCTATTTTTTTGAGACCCGTCAATCAAGTACCTTCATGAATCGCTCCCAAACTGTTGAGTTACACTGCGTTGCAAGGGATGTGCAGTTGAGCACTGTCTCTGCCTGAGGATTATTACACGTGAAAGCGTCGCATTTGCCGCATGTTACTAAACAATCCTGCAAATAAAGGCTCATGTAGAGGAAGAAGTGAAAAATTATTTAGTCTCAAGCTCTTAAACGTGGAACAGAAACATGTCAGACCCATTTCTACCGTCCATTGAGCTATCCAGAAAAGGTCATTTGGATAACCAGGCCAACTGAAATGAGATGTAAATATCTATACGCACCTTGAAATGCTCAGCTCAAATCTGCTTTTCTTACTTGCTGAACTCTTCTTTACGGGAGATTGTATAGCAAAAAACGTACCGGCAGTTGTCGGAACTGGCAGGCAGGGGGCGGGTGTCGGATTCCTTCTTTAGGCAAGATCTCAAATTTTGACCTAACATCGAAAATTTGGGTAGCCGCTTATAATCTTACCAGTTCAGATTCGCGTGCCATACATATACAAATGCTACGGTAGACTCAATCCTCCTTCGTTGCGTAGGCTCTACGTTTCGCCTGCTCTCGCCCTCCCGTCCTCCCTCCACTGCTCTTCAGCTGCCACTGCAGCACTTTGTGGAATGACCGAAAATGTGCTACGTAGGTGTTTGTATATGGAACGTTCATAGTTGGCGATCATACGTGCGATTAGGCAATTAGGCGATTAGGCGATTAAGGCGAGAAGGCGAGTAGGCGATTATCAGTTTGTCTAGATTGTATACAACACTTTAGTGAGTTCTGCTCTTTACAAAACTAGTAGTTTAGTGTATGGGTAAGAAGCTAATAGCATGTACGCCTCAACTTGATGCCTGAAGAGTTACTTACTACATACTTACGATTACTCGCCTAATCGCCTACTCGCCTACTCGCCTAATCTATACGTATATTTTTCATTTAGACTAATCGCCTAATCGCCTAATCGCCTGATCGCCAACTATGAACGCTCCAGTAGCCGTCGGGGTGTTATCTCAATCATGCCACAAGCACTGATTGCGCGAGTTCTGCGAGCTACTCGGATTTGTTTAGCGGCTTTGTTTATCCATTCCTTCTCACTCACTTCATTTTGCGGACGGACAGACAAGCATACACACATACACACGAACAAACCGACACATCAGGTTATGGTTCATATAATGAATGATACCCAAAGCTCAGTATCGTATTTCTTCAAAATTCTTTTTGAAACAGATTCGCAGGGATTTTGGACAGACCAGAAGTTGAATGCAGTTTGATGCTGACGATAGAGCATAAATGAAATAAAAATAAAATGGGTTGTGGTTTCCTGATTTTGAGCGATTTCTATGTTCTCACGTACATCGCTATTGTCGGCCCTTATCAGCTGTCATCAATTTCTGTCCCTCACCTACTAAATATGTCCCCGTTTCCCACTCTACATCACTTGTTGGAGCTGACGCCTCTGTTACTGGGACCGCGTTATCAACACATTCACGTCCGATGGCCGCCCATATGGGCTGCCAACAACATGTGCTCTGGGACGATGGCAGCCCATATGGGCTGCCAACTGATAATCGCTTGCCAGGCGCTAGGAATGGACAGATAGGTGGGCAAACTCGTAATCGAGTGTAAATGCTTTTAAATTCCTTCACGGGGAAAGTGAATAAATGCTCTCTTTTCGTAACCACTATTCGTCGTTCTGATCGAAATCCTACTGTTATATGTTTAGATAATCTTTACGCATTGGACATTGCAGAAATTATTTTGTGACATTCATGTTTTTGTTCATTTACAAAACAAAATCTGCGGTTATGTGGTGAGGCGGCGGCGCCCACAAAATCGCGTCCGTCCCACGCGACCGAAAAGTGGAAAAGGGGCGTCGTCGTGAATGTGTTAATTTGATGACACTCGCCTTCTACCGAGCCCTTCCAACTGCTATCATTTTCGGTCCCCCACCTAATATTTTCGTTTCCAGCCAGTATATCAT